CTTGATCTGTAGTCTATACCCCTTACTGATCGTGACAGCAACCATCAGTTTTTCAAACTCTGACTACAAAGTGATAGTTAAATTTGTATCAGTACGCTTGCGGTAAACTGAATGTTACTTATCAAAGTAACTCAGCCACTTGTCATAGTAATGTATTTCAAAGCTACCTGATAGAAATTTAAAACCTTGTGGTTTTTCACTATTATCATCGTTAATTGCTTGACATTCATCCAACCTGTAAGTCAAACTGTTTAAGTACATTGATAAGTCTAACATCCCAAGATTTGTTATTACTCGCTATTTCCCGATCAGTGGCTACCATCCCCCTTTCCATTTGTTCTGCAGCTCGGCAAGACTATTATAATCAGAGTGCCTAATTAAAAATTGAACGTTTTTCCCAGTCAGCGTTAGCGAAATCTCTACATTGATAAGGAGTGATTATCTCGGATTCGTTGCTTTTTGCAGGAAACGGTAGAGTTTAGGAAACTGTCTTATGAAGATAAGTCGTGCTGAACATCAACGTCCTCTTTTTGAGGCTGAACGTGTTTACGAAGACCGATTCCTTGAAAACTTCAAGGTAGTTATATGAGGCAAATTGTCTGTAATTACGTAGTTCGCCCCAGAAATGTGCTCTATATCTGAAGCGAAATGTTGTCTAGCTGTCGAGAATCACGAGGAAAGTACTTGTCTGAAGATGAGCATAAAAGGAAGGTAAGAGGTCTATGATTGGTAAACAAAGTGAATTCTTAATCTTCCACATAGTGTTGAGAGTAACTGACAGAAAAATACATGTCTGTGAGTCCCCTATCGAAAGCGTTATACCTCGATTCAGTGTCTTGAGAAGAGTCCTAAAGGCTGCCAGCAGTTTTTACAAATCGTCACAAGACTCCTTCAGTTGTCGAGTCGGATGGGTCCACTGCGATACTAATGCGTGTTTTGGTGTTCTGATGTGCGAGTATTGTTGCTTTGGCGATAAGTCCCTTGGCTGTGGAGGATGTTTTAGTCGCATCGTCCCGCAAATTGAGTTTCGCTTTTTCACGAAGTTGATCTGTTAAAGGTCTCACGTGAAATGCGCAATTCGTTGTAATGAGTCGATTAAAACTTATCAGGCCGTTGAACACATGTAATTGCCTGACTGTGGTTGGTTCTGGTTAATCCAGAATGACTGCCATCTTTATTTTCAGATAGCTGACGCCATGAGCATCAAGGTGTGTCCGAGAAAACCTAGGAAGAAGGCGGTGATTTGACATTTCCGAATGTTTGCAGTAATGCTGTGTTTTTGAAGATGCTCGAAGACAAGGTCCAGATGCTGGAGATGAGATTCTTTGTGGGGATGTCCAATCGTGCAGTCATCAGCGTACGCGTGTATGACGTTGAGACCTCAAAAGATGAAGCCGATGAATCCCTGAATCCTTTGTACACCATTTGGTAAACCGAATGGCATGTGCGAAGATTCATATAGGCCGAGGGGACTGGTGACAGTCGTTCGGGGAATGTCGTCTGAAGCCAAGGGAATCTGGTTGTATGTTTTAACCAAATCAATTTCATAGAAAATACATATCTTTTAAAGTATTTATCAAGTTGTTGATTTGTGGTCAGGGGTAAATATCGAGAGTGGTTTTCGTATTCAGTCGCCGATCATCACAAGTTGAAAGTTAATCATTGCTATTCTTTTAAGGGACCATGTGCAAGAGAGATGCCTGCGGGTTGTTCGACGGGCGAATGATTCTTAGGTCTATCACATATCTGGGCTCATTTTTGGCCGACCCTAGCCTTTCGAAAGCTGCTTAGCTCGCTATTGAGAATACAGGTGGTCCTGTGGTTATGATATAGTGTGCAGCATTGATGGTTATACACGGTAATTTTGATTGCGTTTGGTACAGGTCAGAGTACTTGTTGCGTATCCGTTGGTAGTGTGGGTTGATTATGCGCTTAACTGATTGGAGATGATATACAACAAAAAATGAAGTTACACAAACAGTTAAATTAGTATTTCCGTCTACTAACCTCCGTTTGCACGTGTCGATTGGCACATTTTGAAGTTGTGGTACGTCTATACAGATGATTGATTTTGAAACATCTGCAACAACGAAAATCCAGTGGATGGGTTTGTATAAGCCCATGTTGAGATACACATATCGCTTACCGTATGAGTTCATCGGTTTCGCATTTTCAGCCTGCAGGTTGAAAACTGCCTCATGTAGTCAGTCGTCAGGATTTACGAGAGGAACAATAACTTCTGCGCATGTATGGTCGAGGTGGCGAACATTCGCAATTAAATCCGTGACGTGTAATAAACGGCCATGTTCATCGCCTGCGGCTGTCGTTAACGCGCCCTCGCGCAGTAGTTCGTCGTATCGTTTTCCGGAAAGTGATGGGTCTTCTATAATCTTGAGAAGACTTGCCATACTTCTTGCGGTACCAACACCAACAATGATTATCTGCCTCATGTGGTTTAGAGGCAGATCTCTTTAGTGGCGCGTTGCTCCGAGAAGTTTGGGAGTGAGGTGCAGGATGCGAGGTAGTGAGATGTCATCTTGAGGTACATGGTGCATGCCTAGTATAGCTGTTGAAGCGTCAGCGTATGATACGGACCGATTGTCGTTTTAATATAGCCTCACGTGATTTGTTTTGGTGGCGGATTTAGACCTCTTGCAGGCACTTTAGGTTCCATGGGAGGTTGCATATCTTTGAGATGGCCTGGACGTCATTTGAAGAGGTAATAATATTATTGCCGTTTATATTATCCGAACGGTTAGTGTCAGAACTCAAATTAATAGACGATCAACACTAGACGGTATGATTGAATCCAATATTCATCAAGAGGTAATGGATGAACGTTAATGAACGAAAAGAAAATCATTACTTGAAATCTAACGGAATAAGTGCATGAAGATGAGCGTCAAGATGAATTATGAAATTAATGAAACCTATATCAAAATATGGTATTTTTCGCTGATAAATAATAACTCTGAGTGAAAATCCAATGAGAAAAAAATAATAACCACGTAAAAATGTTGCAAAATTCGAAGCCCGTGCGCCCTCGTTAACTATGAGTAATTTGGTTATTTCAAGGGGAACGGATTATATGCGGGTTCTGAAAAGCCGAAATATTGATAAGCCTGGATTTTCGTTACTTTATGATTTATTCTCCATAGCCAAAGAATATATACGTTGAGGCGAATGATTACTGTCAAAAATTAGGTATATTCTGAAGAGCATTTACGCCATGGTGCTTCTGGTAACAGCGCATTCAGTTCCCCGGTTTCTTTGCGAAGAAATACTGGTTGGTGGGCGGTTGAGACCGAACGTGGTCAAATCTCTCACTTCTGCAACAATATCTAGGGAAAATAAACCCTGACATTGTAATCGAATTTGTACTAACTGATTTTCAGAACCAAACCCATATCTTTTCTCTTTCGTCTTGGCACCTCGAACTTCAGACCCGTCCATTTGTTTATATTGACCACATTATCGTATGTAGGCGTTATGCTCTCCCAACACCGTATGTCCACATTCAACTACTCGACAGTGCTTACATTAGACACATTTTCGAAGAACGGTAGTTTTTCTTATCAATAGATATAGACTTCTTGTTAATAATAAAAAATATGGTTTGAACCGGTAATACTTCCTAGCCAACAGTAATGGGAATAGCAGTCACAACCTCTCAAACCAGGGTAACTGTTGAACCGGTTATCTTAGCTACGGCACTGTATCATGATTATCTGGTGTCAGATTGACCGGAGATGTTGTTTCGTCGTTTGCCAGTATCTTTAATAGAGTGGGAAGTTAAAATGTTTGACCTAGGAGCATTGAGTTTTATGGCAGGATTCACTGCATAACCGGAGAGAAGCTGGCTCGCAGAAAAGCTTGTACGCAATTGGTGGTGGCATGATTCACATTTGTGGGGCCAGCTTCGCCAGCTGTCACGTCGCAGACAATATTCGAAAGATAGCATACGCAAAAGGCCACCACACCAATGACTTTTGTCGGTCATTTTAACCAAGTGAATAGGAACAGTACTTTGGAAATTTCCAAACAATTAGTCAAAATCGTGAGGACGATAACAGCTTTTTTAGGCGTAGCTATAAAAAATAGAAGTGTAATGAAAATAAAACTTCAACAGACTGAAGTCAAATTTAAGAAAGTCCGAAATGATAGTCTTTCATCTAGCTTCAGCCAAAAGCGTTAGGTTTTAGCCACATATTCCTTAACGCTACAAAAGCCAGTTTTGTCAAAACGTGAAAAATTTCATTCCTTTTTAGTCATCATGTACAGATCAGTTTCAGTATGAATAGGAAAGGAGACAAGATGGCCTATGTTAGAACTGACAATGATGTTCCCTCAGTTAATCCATTTTTTTTAAAGAATCGAGAGATGGAGTTTCAATCATGTGTTGAGGTAATGAATTACACTCGGTGATGATTCGATGGGAAAGTCGATAGTAAAGTGACAAGTAATTTGTCTCGAGTCTGTTAAAATTTTGGAGTGTCCTTGTAAATTCTCTGTTTGGGAGACAAAACATGAGAGCAAATCAAAAGCAAATTTATCACTAAGTAATCTGATCAAAACAGACCAAAGACATCAAGTTCTTTAATGGTTACATTGTCCAGTGTGTATGTGGTGGGGAATTATATGAACTGATGGGAAGGGTGTTTCTACGACGTATACGTTGCTAAAGTAGTTTGAGAATACATGAGCCTTGCCACAGTCGGCCTCCACTTGTAATGAAGTATTACTGTCTCCCTATAGTGCTGGGCTATTTCTTCTTCTTTTAGTCCCTTGGTTTATGTAAGAATATAAGCGTTTAGGCATTACATAGATTCCTTAACAATGCCAAAAGTATTCGTAAATTAAAAACGCCTGAACCAGTAACATTTTTATAACTGAAGTACGCCAACTCGATCAGATCAGAAGTCAGGATTGAAAGAGTTCGAAGATATATTTAAAAGGCGATTCGTATCTCGAATGAACATTTGGCTTAAGCCAACTAGTAGCGGAAAGGGATGCGTAGCACGATGTAACCACTAGTGATCTGGTGTGGATGCGTGACAGAGCGCTTCAGCTAAGTGATTCCAGTAAAATGACTATGGTAAGCATCAAAGACTTATAGAGCTATTTATTTTTGGGATTTATTTACCGCTACTCGTGAATCAAAACTACGACTCAAAGTTTTCGATATTTAAAAATATTTATTTGCATCAGACGTCAAAGAAATGCAAACTTCTGTTTTTATCGCTGCTGTACAAAAAACAAAAATTTGGCATCATCGAAATTGAATGAATAGTAACGTCGTACATTAAACTTGTTTCACATCTTTAGCGTTACAATTCAGTGCGCCTTGTTTGTTTCTCACCATGATTGTGTTTAAGGACATGATTACTGGTATGAATAAATATCTTTAATATTCTCTTCAGAGGATGAAATGTTCACAGACTCTCACTGTCCTCGTGTCGTCGCGGATTTCTTTTATGAAGTAGAATCGAGGTTTACGACAACTTCAAGTAAGGTGGATGGGAGACTTATTGGCGCAAACCCTTCTGGTGAGGGTGAAGACGATGAAGATGTGGATGATACGAGTGAAAGGGTCATTGATTTAGTTCACGCTAATGGTTTCATTAGTGTTCCTTACGACCTAAAATCATACAAAGCTCAACTTAAAGTAAGTTATCCAGTTAAATTGATATTGTTCTAGTCGTATTTAAAAGCTATAAAACAACGTTTGCAAAAGACTGATCCAGACAAGCTACCCTTACTTGAAAGTCAGGTCAACAAGTACATGAAAGATGTCTTTGCGAACTTTGACCAATATGAATGTTTCACGGGACCATCAACTAATCCTGAAGCCATGGTAGTTTTGATGAACTTCCGTGAGGACGGTATGACACCATACTTCGTTTTCTTCAAGGATGGATTGATACACGAAAAATGTGTAAGTTGGTTTTCTTTCGTAATCATGAAGATAGTGAGGCGCCTCGTCTTTGGAATCTTGGAAATCATGAACATCTTGTAATTTACAAATACAATGTGATGTTTCTGGATTATTACTTTTCTCAGTGAATGTATACATTATCAAGTCAATCGCTCAGAGTAACGGAAAGTGATTTGGTCGTAAAGATCATTGTCTTGATCGCCTAAGCAACGTCTAATGGTTCAAACGGTTGTAAAAAAAGAATGACTTTCGGTTAATGGACTTCCGTATCCATGAATTGCCGATGCTTAGAGGTATGAACCTGGGCATGTTTATCAAACGTAAGAGTAATGTTGGTAAATAATGTTGAAGTGCTGTTCCAAGACCTTAGTAATGTCCAGTTTCCTCTTGAAAGACTCCTGAGAAATTTCTTAGACCATCTCAGCCAACCACCACCCAACTATCTTGTAATAAGTTACACCACGCGGATTAGCTCTTCACCGCAATGTGATTGTAAAAACAGTCTTCCGACTTTACGTAAGTGCCCAAGTCACTCATTCGACCACCAGTATAATCAGAACGTCCGCAACACTTCAGCTCCTTGGCACTAGGTATTACGAAGACGTGTTTTTCGTAGCTGTTTTAGTGTACTAATATGATAAGTTGTCTTATCAACACAAATGATAAAGCCAAAAATATCAAGCTTTAGTCTGATCATTCCAAGCATAACAGTAAACGAGTCCACTAGATTTTGTACTTCATTGTGAGGCGTTAAACCTCGGCCGGTTGTATCGTCAATTCAAATCGGTTTACAGAAAATTGAAGACATTGACTTTGGCGAGTTCTAAAATGTTTAGTGTCAATGTGAGCAAGAAACAAGTTTAATTAGTCCTGTAGAATCTAAGACTATCAATGGGTAATAAAATTCAATACCTAGTCGATTATCGCATTGTGTTTTCACTACGATTATGATTGATCTTTCACTGATCACTAATATATCTAGTTTGTGACAATGTTATTTCTATTTCTGTGTTAGCGACCTTAAAAATTCGACATTGTGAATGGCGAAACATGTGCCAGAAACGGCTCAGACGTATATATGCACTATTTGGAATTTCAATGTGATTTCTTTATAGACAAATATGTTCAACTTGGGATATCTTCATTTCCCATAGTGTGAACTGTGACAATCAAAAAGGAGATAGAAACTGATATATGCGTTTATCCGCCCTGGTTGCACGCACACAGGCGCAGTGTCAAATATCTACATGATAGTGGTAATATTAATAGTAGTAATGATCCCAGCGGATAGATCAATTATATTTTAACGTAGGATACCACAGTCAATATATCATTAACCATCAGCATTGAGAAATTTCCATGGTTAATAAGAAGTTAAACTTACCCAACCGCTTCATCATCATTTTTCTCGACATTGACGAGTCGTAAGGGGGGATGTTCATTTCTTGGAGCCAGGACATTAGAAGCGACCCACATGTTTGATATCAGTTTTTGCACGATATTTCTAGGTGTTTTGCCTGTGTACTTTTATTTAATGGGAATTAGTGGGAGGTACTTCGTCACAAGGTCATACAGTGCTCACGTAGACGACCAGTAAGTATTTCATCGCACTTACTAGACTACAGGTTGGACACCCGTTCAGCAACTTTCGCCAACCGTAGCATTACTGTGAGATCTATGTGAACGCTGCTTGTTATATCTGGTTATCATTGATTATTATGTTGGGATTGCTTATCATTTATACTCGACAACGAAGAAACACTGATTCCCACGACACGAATGTGAAAACACAACTGGTACAAATGTAGAATTATTAACCCCTAAATCTGTCGATTCTAGTCGAAAATACACATTTATATATTGATTGCAAACGCATTTTGAATAATAATTAGGATAAAATCACATGTGGAAAATACTTGGTTATAACAAATCACATGCTGAGTCTAGTTCATGTTAACTTAGTACAAGAATGTCGTATGTTATACAGAATAAAATATCGCACTGGAAAACAAATATTACACTGAGTGATCATCACACTGAATTAAAACGGAAGCAATGCTGAACAAAAGTCATAGTGGATAAAAGGATATAATTTCGACTTATCATCTCGTTATATCATTAAATAACCATCAAATCAGATGTGTACCTCGAAGCCGAATGCATAGAACTGCACATGATGGGGGCTTGCTTAACAATAAAATCCCTATCTTGGATTTGGAATTTGTAGTATTCAGGACTTGCCCAACATTTCGTACCATCTTTTACTATCACTCATTAAATGTTCAGCTCTAACTGGTGGTAACATATTTATGTCAGGGTGGAAGTGCCTGTGTTGAAATGAATAATGTATTTAGCACGATAAATTACCACTAGGTGATTTCTACGCGTACCGTAATTCATTTATCAAATGGTTGGTATTTTAAACAGTGGAGTTAAGTAGAATGTAAGAAATTGTTACGACATTCAATCCGTGTAGTAAATTAGTTTGTGCACAAAGCTCGTACAAATAGTTTAGTTATTTATTTAGTTGTAACTATCTAATTATATGTTAACGTATGAGTTGTAGGAATGTTTACCGGATTTTTGGCAATAATACGAAACAAAACATATTATGTGTTGCGTGAACTACAAAAAATATCGATCTAATAAGTATGAATTTTGAAAAACTAGTAGAAATGTAAACTAATGGATCTGATGAGTCGTTTCATTTAGGATATTATCATTATATACAGCTGAAATAAAGTGGTTTGGGGTTATTTGAAATTATTCAGTAATAAAATGTCTTTCAACAGGTCAGTATTACTAAGTTCGGAGAGTAAACATGGACAAGCATTAGACATCATTTAGTTTAAGTTATGACAGGATAGGTGCTCCAACCTTTTTTATGGCATAGGAAATGCAAAAGGCTACAATACGTAGGCACTTAGTTATTGCAAAGAAGCTGGTTGCCATTTATCTTGCATTTAAATCAAAATACTATCGACAAAATAATTGAAGAGCTTTCCTTTCAACCTTTTGATAATTAATAACACTAACTTTCCATTTGGTCAATGTATACTAGTCAGATAGTACCTACTACATATACATCTGTATTTAAGAGTCACCTGGACATACAGTCATGAACCTCGGGAAAAGCATAAGTATGCTGTGCAGTAGTCCGCTTCGATCTGATTTATATATAGCTATAAAACATGGCTTTCATAAATAAAGAATAGTCATAGGTAGTTTCTAATTTCGTATTCGAAGCATCGCTTGAGTAATTTGATACCGTCAATTAGACAGGGCAGTCGGTGTATATAATAAATCGGTTGGTAAACTATCGGATGAAATGCCTACTTACGTTTGTTACCTTTCGTGCAGGAGCATAAGCCATCCATCGAGATTTCCCATACAACTCTGTTTTCGATAGGCCTTTCCGGTTGCTGTAAATCCTTCTCATATCTGCTTCCTATTCCCGACTTAGTCCCGAGCTGCCAATTTGGGGGAAATGAGACCGAAACCCCTAAATTTCCCCAAAAGTTGGGGAAGGCTATTTCACTTTAGGGATTTCACCAAAATTTCCCAAAAGATGGCAGCTTGGGGTGTGGTTTTTGGTCTTCCTGTTTTCCGTTTCCCCTCAGGATGACAAGTTAGCGTTTGCTTTGTGATGCAATTTGATGGTTTCCGGAATGCATGTCCTATTTGTTGTATCCCGATAAGAACAATGAATGGTGACTTGGGATCCATTTGTGGACCAATACTAAATGTATATTTTTATCGTAAAATTGTTAATTAACCAAACTTCATATTCGTGTTCCTCTTATTAAAAGCTTTATTTTGACTTATGAGCTATTATTATACGATTAACAATTCTTGGATTATTCCCTGTCTATTAATGACTACCTCCCTTATTCACAGCGACATTTGGGCAAATGTTGTTTCCTATTTCATTGATACAATGTGGTCTGTTTGGTTGGTATATAAACTCAGTATGTTTGGAATATATGATTCATATCGCATAGGCTGAGATTGGTGTTCTGAACTTAACAGTTTGGGCTAGGCGGGAAGCGGGACCGATAAGGACTCTTGACTGCTCATACGGGTTTTATGCGTCATTGGTCCGATCGATAATTCCCTGTTCTCTGATTGGTGGTTTGAAGAAGTGCATTAACCTTGTAAAGGCTCTCTACCCGAACACAACTGGTCGAGTGAGAGCTTATGGCGAACTGTCATCAGCATTGATTACTTCAAGTGGTGTTCGTCAGGGGTGCCCACTCTCTCCATTCTTGTTTAACTTTGTCATTGACGTACTTTTAGAGATAACACTTTCCTCATCTAAATTTACAGGGGTTGAACTTCTACCGGGAGGTCCACTTGTTGACTTAGAATATGCCGATGCCATAGTTACATTTGGTGAAGACGCTGACAAAATGAAGAGTCTGCTGACCACTCTAAGCAACAATGCAGGCATGGTCGGGATGCGATTCTCCCCCTCAAAATGCGAAATGTTGCTTCAGGATTGGGTTGCATCGACACCCGAATTAATGATAGGGAGTGAAGTAATTGGGCGTGTCGATCGCTTCACTTATCTTGGGAGTCTCATCAGCCCTTGTGGTCTGGTATGTGACGAAATCTCAGCACGGATACAGCAGGCTTGACTAGCTTTCGCCAAATTGCGTCATTTATGGAGTAGGCGAGATATCCGTCTATCAATCAATGGAGGTGTTTACTACTCAGCAGTTCGTCCCGTCCTACTTTATGGCAGTGAAACATGGCCGGTAAGAGTAGAGGATATTCGTAGGTTACTAGTATTTGACCATAGGTGTCTTCTAAGCATTGCTCGTATATTCTGGGACCATCGAGTAAGTAATGTAGTTGTTAGGAAACGGCTACTAGGTAAGGATGGAAAATTCATCGATGACGTAGTGAAACTTCATCAGTTGAGATGGGTGGGACACGTGTTACGTATGCCCAACCACCGACTGCCTCAACGTGCGATGTTCAGTGGTATAGGAGTAGGTTGGAAGAAAGCTAGGGGCGACCAGACCAAAACATGGCGCAAATCCATGAAATCACTTACAAGTGGACTGAGCCATGTTGGTAGGTGTAG